TGTACCTGTGATGAACACAGGCTTTGGTTATGTATATAGTTATATGTGGTCATGTGTTGTGGGGGTTTGGCAGCCATATCTTGATGGGAAAAGCTGGGTCCCTGAGCAAAATAGTGATACTTAAAGGGTTACTCTTGTTCTGAGGAATGAGCTAGGAGTGTTTCCAGCATGGTTACTGGAGTTGTAGGTCTGTGTGTCAGAGCCCTGGCGTGTGCCAGCCTTCCTGCGGCATTGGTTCTGGGAGGAACTTCTTGGCTACTGCACCAGTTTCTCCAGCTTGACTGTTTAATTCACTGTCCTGTCCACTTGGTGAGCACAATGATGAACATGTTCATTGCTTCTTACTGGGAAGGACTTGGGCTCCAGGCCTCACATTAATATGACTGTAGTGACTCAGATAGGGATCTGATGCGATCTGGTATTAATTGTGCTCTCTCATTTATGTCTCCTGTTCATTGATTCTCCTGTTTGATTTCCCTTGTCTTTTGCACAGAGCTGCATACAGTCTGTCTTCATGTCTCTGCTTGAGCTGCCTTCCTAGTCCATTTAGATTAGTAAATGAACACCAGAATGTACAGCTGCTGCAGAAAAAAATGAGGAGGTGGTAAGCAGCAAACACAGGTTGATAGATTAGTGGAGAATGCTGTTGTGACTAGTAAACTGTTCTACTGTATTTTAGGTAATTCCTTTATGTCCTTGTTAGAAAGCAAGAAAACCATCAGTAGCTAGAGCATTAAGTTGAAGGAGGGATTAACAGTTGAAGTAAGAACACATGCAAGTTGAAATAATAAAGCAGGAAGAAAAGACAAAGGTGTTTTGAATTCAGAGCAAGTGTTAGGCTGAAGTAGAACAGCAAACATGGAGATATGGAAGAAACACAGAAATGAGGGGTAGTTCCATAAGGAGGTTCATGCTGAACAGTACAGCAAAGGATGGGGGAAGCCAAATCAAGGACAGCATGATGCTAATTGGATTGCTGTATGGTTTCTTGCTTTGATATCTGCTTCTTGCTAGTATTCATTATGCTCTTTGAGCTTTGCCTTACTTAATAAGAACAAAGAAAGAGTAGTGCTCTCCATTGAGTTGTGAATCTTGTTCTCATAGGAGGTGGAAAAGGAGGTATTTAACATAAGATGAAACAGCAGTTGCTTTTTATTGCTTTTGCCTGTCATTATTGCTGCTGCAAGATGGAAGCTTATTCAAATGCTTAAGTTTTGGGTACTGTGGTTTAAATGCATATATAGGTTACCATTACTTTAAATTCTTGAATTTTTGTGTTTCATTGAATATTGTCCAGATTACCTATATGACTTAAATGCCTGTCCAACAGAAATATGGGACTTGCAGTTGTTTTTTGTTTCTTTGCCTTTGTTGTTGTTCTTGTTGTCCTAGAAGAAAAAATAAGAATATAGAACATGCAGTTGCAGAGTCAAGTATTTCTTTGGCCTTTTCTCTTTTGAAAAGGTGCACAGTTCTCGTTTTCCGTTTGGATAGTATGAATCAAATGGCAAAGAAGCATCATGTTTCTTTAGTGAGCAAGCATTTGTTTTTTTAGAGGACAAGCAAACCTATTTGTGCATGTTTTTTCTCTCTCAGTACCATTTTTAATTTCTTCTTGTGCATGTGTCCTTGGTTATCTGTTCTTTGGCTTTTTTTTTTTTTTGCAGGTATTCTGCTATTTCTCCTATTGAAACAATCCTTTGTGAAAGGCCGTGTTAAATCTTCTCCCATGTAATTCACACGTCTGTTCAGCTTTTAATGAACTGTTCTGGGTAGTGGTATGTGCTGAAGTTTGAAGGCAACTAATGTTGCTTTTCTCTGCATCCAAACCTTAGCGTGATGGGTTCTCATTCATCAGGTATATAATTCCCACCTCTAACTTCAGCAGGATTGTAACCCAGTCTGTAACCATGGTGTTAAGTTTCAGTTTTGCCCAGTGGCTCCGAAAATACTGATGTTCAACATAATCTATATTCGAATAAACAACTAAACAAAATACATACTTCACAGATTTTACTGTATTTGTGACAATTTTCTGATGCTATCCATTCTGAATTGTGATTTATTCCTCTTTGGTTTTCTAACGTAGAATTTTTGCTTTTTGTCTGGTTTTCCTGCAGGCAGCTGATAAAGTTAATTTACAAGATTCTCTTGACATGTGTCTGCTGTTTTTGTGAAATTTGCTGGTCAGAAGGGACCTGGCATAGTTTTGTCCATGGAAGCCTCCTTTACCATGAAGACATTGTACTTCAGAAGCAGCTTTTTATATTCTCTCACATAAATATTCTATATTTATTTAACTAAGGTTTTGCTAACATTGTAGTCTAATCTCAAAAATATATTTAAAAGATATGTTATATCCACCTGTTAGTCCTGTCCACCAGTTTCTGTTTATTCCTCCATGAGATTTCAGTTTTAAACTCAAGATTTTACTCTGGGTCCATTACTGTAATGCAGTATTTGGAGGGAAAGCTGTCTGTGAAAGTTACTTCATTTGTCCAGTATATCTCAATACTGTGTGCAAATAAACATTTTTTTCTTCCTTTGGGACTAAAAATTTTCCCAGAATCCCATTTTCTGTTCTGGAAAATTCCCCATATTGCATCAGATTAAGCTATCCTATTCATTTTCATGCAAAGGAAGCCATCATTACTTCTTTGAGTGCACTTGTTTCTTTAAGCAATGAATTTCTGGCTCATTTCTTCTCAGATCATTAGCGTTATTTGTTTTATCATCAGGTCCGCATCTTAACTGGGAAACTGGGGACTTGCTAACAGCGTAGCTATCACTTTCTTGTTTTCTGTGGGATACCTGGCCTTAGTTAAGCTTACGAAGTTACTTGAAGAAAAACCAAAACAAAACAAACTCAGTGTTTTGGGGTCATTTTCATGTTGGTAGCTCTGAACACTTCACGAATACTTCGTGATGCTTTAGCTCTTTTTCAAAAGTGGAAGTTACAATCTGGTTATTATTAAATAGATTGACAGGACATGATATGTAGGCCCGCTTTCACCATGTGCTGAACTGTGTTTGATAAAATATATTCCACTTTTAGAATGCCATGTCTTTTTTTCTTTTGGGTACATTTATAGTTGCTGGTATTGTGTGAAGCCTCAGGGGACTCTCAGCTACAGCAGGGAAACTTCCCTGAATTTGCTTATGCTTGCCATGACTCCAGTGCTGCATGTTTCTGAGTGGTAAAGTTGTAGTGGCAAATGGAGGACCTTTAAACGTTCCTAGCAACAAGGGCCCTGGGCACCCTGGGATGTATTTCTTATGGCTTTGTGGTATCTCGTACGTCAAATCTTCTTCAATAGTCCTTTCTCCTGTATGCTCCACCACTGTTTTATGCAACTTACATTTGCCCTCGTGATTACCATTGCATCTCTGCTTCAGCATTATTTCAGCATTAAAGTACAGTGACTTGTTTGTCCTGTCTTGTGCTTGCATAGTCTATAGGCCAAATATCAGTCCTCTGACTCAAGTTACATTGTGCATTTCTAGACTGAGTTTGTGACAATTCCGTCATTAAACGCTGTTTTGGATGACAATTTTATTACTCCCAAGTTGTCTTTCTAATAAAATGACAAGTCCAAGTAATAGTGTAGGATGGAGCAGTTAATGTGCTATCAGGACAGTCACATAACAGCACAGTGTATGCAAAGGAAACTTACTTGGACTATCAGCCTTATACTTTGAAGTCAGTTGAGCCAAGGATGACTATGAAGAAATTTAGTCATATGGCAGAAGTAATTTTCTTCGTGTGGATAAGTGTTTCCAACTATTCTTACCTGAAACAATGACAGTAGGTGGACTCCAGATCAGTAGTAAATAAGCTATTTGTATGTGTTGGTTTGTAAGTGCAAGTGCATGTCTGTGTTCTCATTACGTGTTTTTTCATTGCTTAATTTATGACCTTATGTTGCAAACTCCAGTTGGAGTAGTTAAACTTTAAAACTGATTTTATTGGTTCATGATAGAAACTTTATATAAAACCTCATTTCTTATGTAAGATCTTGTTATTTTGCTTCTTGTCTTGTAAACACCTTAGAAAAGGGATGACAAGCTTAATGTTTACTTTGGTTGTTGATGTAACCGTGTTTCTTTGTCAGAGATGCTCTTGCTTTATTTCAGCTTTGAATAATGAAGAAATAAAAGCAGGAATAATGTATTTAAAAATGTAACATTATAGTTTGACAAAATTAATTTCAATTATTTATGCCCTAGTCACTGTAAGTTAAAGATGATTACATGATGAATAATGAATGAAGTAGTAAAGAGGTCTCCTTGGGTATTAAATGAACTTTTTGGGGGAGAGGTGAGGTTAGGGGTGTGTGTGTGGGGGGGAAGTTTCATCCAGACAGTTGTGTTGTAGTTGAAAGTGTTAAACAACACTTCGCCCTTCCCTCCAGAAGTATTTTTCTGTTTGTATTTTACTCAATTTTTTTCAAGGTGGTACTTGTTAATTCAAAATAAAACATTAACTGTCTATTTTGCATTACCTGTTGTTTAATATAAACTTGAATTAAAATTTAATTAAATTGGAAACATTTAATTTGGATAGCCCTTTCCATTAGAGATGTTCATGTGTTGGTCTCTGATTCAATGTATTGGGTAAAGAATGCATAGTCATTCCAGTAACAATTTATCCAAGTTTTTCAAGTCTATTTAATCTAGATCTGTTGCTTCAGAAGCCTGAAATGGGGTTCTTAAAAGATAAGAAATACTCTGAAGAGCTTAAATAGCCCTTGAAGTTGATACAAACAGCTTTGTGGACTTACCAGGCACCATTGCGAGTGATGCACATGTGTGATCATACTCAGCAAGGGCTTCTGATTGTGTTTGGTAACTACATGTGTGCTTGGTAAATGGTTATTTGTGCAGATGCTTGTACATCTCGTAATTCACACTGATGACATTTTAATTCGTAAGTAGTCACTTGATGAAGTAGCTTTTTTTACTGAAGGAAGGATATGGGAGTTTGGTCAATCAGCCAGGTCCAAAGCAATAGCCTAATTTTCATATATGGCAGACACACAAACTAATGAACATGCCTTGTTTATTTGGCCACGTACTGTTTTCATTCAGATAACCAAATACTTTAAGAAAAGTTAAAAAGGTGAGCATAAATATTTGCCTGAATTGATCAAATCCTGATTAGGTTTAACTGACAGACCCCTCCTTTGATCCTTAGAAAATTTCTAGAGATGTAAGTTATGCACCACTAAAAATGATGAGTCCACCTCATGCTGGAAGGTAGTCTAGTAGTTAGCATGTTCCTTTTGGTCCCTAGTATTTTCTTCTGGGTTTTATTCCAGTTGGGTTTTGCTGAGTTTTTTTTGGTGGTTGTTTTTAAGTGATGCTATGCTCCCATAGCTGGGGTAAACTTGCGAAGACATTCATGCAGTAGTTCTGTTTGTCTGGTATTTGTTCTTTAGTTTGCCTTCAAATAGGTTTCAGCTAAGTCTTGTCAGTGAGCGTGAATAAGAGATTTTAAACAATTTGCCTTTAAGGTGGAATAGATCTTATTGTCCAATTCTTTACCTTTATATTTCTGTGACAAAACCAGAAAGATCCTTTCTGTCATATAGTAGTAGTAGGTATTGACTTCTAAGACCTATTCAAACATCGAATACTGAATTGGGCCTCTGTTTACTGGAGATGACAGCTGTTTGGGGTGGGTAGTTCCAGGGTTTCTGAAATTATGAGAAGTAATAATAGTAAAGAGACAGCCATAAAAATATTTTCTGATCTGTTACAACAGTATCTTATTCTGTCTAATAGCGAACATGAAGTCCATGTCAGAAGAGCCAGTCCCATTACATGAAGAATTTATCTACTGTTGCGGAGCTGCTACCCATGTCTTAAAGTGTGGGCCCTGGAAGGACCTCTCAAAAGATGAAAGTAAAAATCTACCCAGGCTCTTATTCATGATTATTCCTGGTAAGGAATTTATTTGTTTAAGTCTGCAAGTGTGGTGATTGGGAAGGGTATGTTCAGTTTCAAAAATCTCTCTAGAGAGCTGGTAGGATTTGTCTTGTGCATACAGCCCCCCCCCCCCCAAATAATAGTATTGCAATGGTGAAACTTTTTTGTTATATTTGATTACTGATGTTATCTGTATTTGTAACAGTGCTGTAAGGTAAAACTGAGAGATAAGGATGTCTCATTTACTTGGTGCTGATGGTTTGCTGACTGCATTGGGTTTTTTGTTTTGTTCTGTTTCCATTTCTCTTTCTCCATTTATTTCTTGCACGTTGACGTGATAGTGCAATATCAGCTGTGTGCCAACTGAAAGATGAACATTAAGGCAAAATTCTGAATCCAGGAATTTTTTTCCATTTGCTTTTTTTATACAGTGTTCACCAAATTCAAGTTACATTTAAATCTGGTCATCTTACAAAGAAAGCTATAAACTTTCATTTTTTCATTTAGCATATGTTAAAATTAATGAAGTCCTAAATTCATGAAGTCTGTTAATGAACTGTAAGAGTTCTGCCATTAACGAACTCTGTGTTCAATCACAAGAAACTTCATGCAATCTAATGTAGTGTCAGGGCTATATGGAGCTTATTTCCTGCAGCACACTTCTGTGAGGACTCCTTGATAAGGTTTTACGTTAACTACATGAGTTATAGGCAAGAAATAGACATCAGTGAAATATTCAGAGTGCTTCTGTCATAGTCTGCAAACTTTTGCAAGTAGCAGGTTTATGATTCTGCCCTTATTTCGGAATTATGTTATTAACAAACTGAAAGTTCTTTCACTGAGAAAGCTATTAACACAGCAGCCACAATAATGATATCTTCATTTTTAGATGCCCAAATTCAGTAGTGAATCAAATTATCCAAGCTCCTTGCTGTGGCTGGGGGAGCTGACTAGGACCTGGCATAACAGAACGCAGTTTTGCTTCTCATAAATCAGATGTTTTTTTCCCCTACTGGTGTATGCCTCATTTTTAGCCTTGAAGGGGAGTCTAATCTGCCAACACAAAAATACACAGCCTTAGGACAGATCTGGATATTTGGGTCATCTAACAACATGTTCGTGTACCTAAACAGGATTAGACAGCATTCCCCTTGTGCTTTTATAACTTCCCGAGTATGAAATGTGGAGCCCTTCTGCAGTCCAGCAGTTTTCAAACTTAAAAGGCATGTATCCCTATTTGGGATTCTTTATGGAATGAAGTAGAGGGGGACAGAAGTGTAGCTTGGTACAAGTCAACGAAAGAAATACCCAGGCAAGGGCAACTTCTGCTCAAAAATGAGAGTATGCATAGCCAAATGTTCAGTGATCTGGACTGAACATGGTTAGTCCTACTGTATATGATACATTGTTCTGTGTATTAAACTGCTCTGGTACGTATTTTTCCAGTCTTGATGAAATTCATGCATACAATTTTGTTTATGTGTAATCAAACAAAAGAGGCATGGGAGTGGGTATTGAAGAGAAAGATAAAATTCTCAGTTTCTGCTGGAATCCAAAATTACTCAAATTTCTTCATAATGGGGAGGATTTCTCTCTATAGTCTGGCTTTCCATTTCCTTAAAAGAAATATAAAAATGGAGGGAGAGGAATGAAACCGACTGCAAAACATTCTTCTACTGCAGTATGAGTGGCAAAATTCCTATTGACTTTGAATAAGGAAAGATTCTGCCTCCTGAGGACTGATAGCTCACTGTGCTTGAAGCAGTTGGGATGCAGAACATGTAGTGGGGCTCAGTCTCGTTTAACTATGACAAGCTAATGTTTTTATTAATGGCAGTCTTTGTAAACTTGTAATTTAAAAAAGTCTTATTATATTAGTTGAAATGTTTAATGTGCACTTTTTTGATCCATAACGTTTTTATCTTGCGTAAGCAAACCCTTTGTATAGGAGTAATAACGTATTTACTGATGTAATTACTGTGTAAGAGGCCCAATTTTTCCTCAGTCCAGAATACATGCATTTGTTGCCTTTTCTTCATATGAATTATTTTCTATTAAAATCTATGAGATTTACTCAAGAGTAAAACTAAATGTGTACAGTTAAAGGATCAGGCCCATGGTTTTCTGGAAATGTAGGCGTTATGGGAAGGACATTAATTATTTTTTTTCCTCTTATGTCGTAAAGGTCTATTTTCCCTTTTGCAATGTTTGTTTAGTGTAAAATTAGCAGTGAAATATAAAATCTGGTACAGCAATGTTTAACATTGCTTGGGTTCATTGAAAACCAGGATCTGCAAAGTGTAATGGAATATGTTGTTTTTACTGTTTTAAGAGTATCTGTCTATTTGTGTCTGTGTATTCATGAAACATTTAACTTTGCAGATAAATACAGTACAAATTTTAAAACCACTGTGCTGTCTGGCTCATGAAGTTTTGCTGTACATCAAGGCTTTTTTGCATTTCATTGCAGGAGTGCATTGCAATACCTTCATTCCAGGCTTTGTAATTTTTGTTACTGTTGTTGTAAACCAGATGGTTAAACTTTGTTATTTGCAGTCTTGTACTTGGGAAGCTTAGTTCATGATTGATAATGTATAATGTAAATAAGATTTTTTTTTTTGTGGTAAAGCTTGCTACACAAGTTTCATTAATATACAGAAATGATTTCAGAATTTGGTTCTTCAACATGCATGCAGAGTATTCCCTGTGCTTGCCAAGTTTCTTGATCTGCCGGCTTGCAGCTGGATTGCTGCTGAGTTATTGGATCATTTTATTTTACCAACTCATGCAGTGACGTGATCATATTTGAGGCCTGTGAGAACTTAACCAGGCACTTTTTTTTGAAGTGAAAGATTTCAACTCCAGAGCTAATTATTTGAGTCAAGAGCTGCTTCTGGTTTTCTGCACAAGAGAAAGCGACTGCTTGGATTCTGATCTTCTCCTAGGAGTAGTTACATGCACTTACATCAACAAGACTGTTGTCACTCGGAGACTACTTGAGTATTTTTCATCAGCTAAGATGATATAAACAGTTTGCCTGGGTTATGACAGGTCTTTAAAGTGTTATCCCTTGAAGTGAGACTTCCTTTTAGTTTTAGAGTCTTTGAAGCTCTATTTTTGTCTGTAATCTAGGGACTCTGAAAAGCTTTCAGTATATTATCTGGCTTTGTCTTCATCTGCTGTTTTCATACTTAACAATCATCACACTCAACTTTTGCATGAGAAAAGTTATGTTAAGGATCACTATATAATAATAACTTGTACTAAAACTAGTGATATGTTCCTGAAGCTTAGTTTCTTTGTATTTGTTCTTTTTAGTTCCTAATAAAATAGCTTTTTAAAAGTTATTTATTGTTCACTCTGCTCAGCAGTCACAGGTATGAATAGTTCTTCAGAGGTCTACTGTCAACTCTGAGACCCAAGGGGTTTAATATTAAAAGAATTTATTTCTTCATTCTATAAGCTGTGTAAAGCATACCTACTCCAATTTTCTTCAACTGGTTTTAGAATGTGCTTTGGTTTGCACAAAAGTCATGTGATGAAATGCTCTTGTTACTATGTAATCTGTATGTTGTTACCATTCTTCCACAAGAACTAGTAAGGATCTAGTAAGGACTCATTGTATCGGCAGATTAGGTTGCAGTCTGTAGCTTCTTTCAGCGTTGGTCAGAATGTAATCCAGAGTCCTGTATGTGAATCTTGGTACTCTAATGTGTAATTAGATCAATAAAAAGAAGATAGATCAAAACTGTGAAGCAAATTCTGATTTTGGAGTAGAGACCATTGAGATACTCAAGGAAGGTACACCCATCCTGTCAGACACTACTTTTTAAGTCAGCAGTGTTCTCCACTTGCCTTTAAAATACAGATGGATGAAAGGGAAATGCTGCTTCCAGTGGACAGCTAGCTTAAGAGGTAAGAAGAGGTTTTTTACCTCTTGAGCAAGGGGATATGTAGGTTCTGGGTCATATTCTGCTCTATATGCTTTGCTCTCACAATCGCTGAATGAACTCCAGCAACAATTTTATAAACAAAGTTGAGAACCTGTCGCTGAATGAACTCCAGCAACAATTTTATAAGCAAAGTTGAGAACCTGTTCTGTTTGAACGCTTTAGGCAGTAAAAGCTGCCTGTTTTCCTCTTCTGGTTTTGTGGTTTGTGGGGTTTGTTTTGGTTTGGTTTTTGACTGAATAGTGCCAGAGCATCAGCAGTAGGAAAAAACGTCCAACCGTACCTCATCTTTTACCTCTGCAGTTTTGTAATTATTAGCCTGTTTATCAGAGCTCTCCTGTGGTTTGATTTGGGTTTGTGTTGGTTTCTTGGTTTGTTTTGGGGGTTTTTTTTGGTGGGCTTTTTGCTTGTGTTTTGCTTTGGGTTGGTGGGTTTGTGTTAGTTCGTTTTGGTTTTTTTTTATAGAGTCAGGCTGAGTCCATGTCACCTAGCTTAGAAAGGAACTGTAAGGCCCAGTTTTATCCAGCCTAATATTAAACACCTAATTAAGATACTAAAATAAGGAGCATGAATTCCTGGGTACCTTGTATAATCAGTAGCTAGGGCTGGGCACTGCCATGAGCATTTCTGCCTACTGAGAGCTTAGTTAGTCTGAGATGTGAAATCTCTAGCTCTGGAGATAAAACATGACAGGATGCGTACCTGGGCAGTCTGCTCTAGCTGCCGCTGCGTATGCAGGGGTGGGTTAGGAAATCTTAGGTGATCCCTTCCAACTTCATCAACCCTGCAGGTATGACCCAGGGACTGGCCATCCAGGTTCCTTCTCCAGGTGTGGATTCTAGTCTCATTGATTTTGGGGATATCTTCAAAAGGTAATAAAGATAAGTATATGGATAAGGAAGTAAAGATAAGTATATGGATAACTTTAGGTAATCTAATACTTGATTAAAATTATCCACTCTTTCAAGAGCTGTGATTTAAGGTACCTCTCTCCTTGCTTTCACAGCCATAATGCATAGTAAGCACCTTAACAGTGAAACTGGGTTTGAGTGTTAGGAACCAAAT